GATTATTTTCTCATAGGCTTATTAAATTTGAATTCTTACATGTTTTGAGTTAGCAGCTAATGTCACGCTGAGCTCTGAGGTGTAACGGATGTCTTCTCGAATGTGAAGTCAGGTAGAAGTTTACTGACCTTTTGGAGGAACGTCTGGCCTCCTTGTAACTCACTCGTCTATTCTGTAGATGGCGGAAGCATAATTCTCCGAAATATCTATGTTTCTACCACACCGAAGTCACGTCCGAAATTTCGAAGTGACATCAGTTCGGAATTCGGTGTGAATTCTTCTGAAACACCATGTCCTTCTAGAAACCCCATACTAATTAGTCACAACGTTTTAAGTCGGCGAGGCTGGAGGTCACGAAACTCCTCCCTCATACAGCACAGAATACCAGCTACACAACATTCCCTCCTCGGAAACATCATGAAGGCAGCATAACTGAACACGGCTTCGACTCCTTGGTCAGTCGTGCGTTGTATGCCATTTTATTACAGAACGCTAGGCCTTCCGGTGAGATTACGTCTCTTCTGATAATTTCACATTTTTATACATTGCAACCCACGCCATACCACACCTTGTGGGTACTCACTTTAGAACAGACTTACTTATCTGTGACACAGTTGATGCTGACGAAGCTGCTACTGCAGGCGCTTCCTCACTTCAGTGGCACTACTACCACTCCTACTTCATTTTGCATCAAAAGGATGGGATCAGGAGAACAGGAGTTACATACTGGCACCACTAAACAGTATCTGTTTACATATAGTAGGGAGTCCAGCGTGGAAGTGGAATATGATTGCGGGTAGTGAGTGCGGTAGGGATGAGAATCTGTCTTGGGGCTTAACGGGTCTTGCTTAGACAGGGCGGTAAGGCTTAATTACTTCGTACACACACACCGTAAATGCAAAGTACTAATTCATTTATTTCCCGCACACTTTACAGCAGTCAAAAGAAGGAACACTGGGAGAGTTAATTGTAATATCATCAGTCTCAAGTGCTTATAACAATTTACTCCATAATTATTCTTATTAATTCTTACGAATTCACTTAGTAGTGTGTTCAGCCCGAGTATTAGATGATGGTTGTTGTTGCTGGAGGGACGCCGTGCGAAGTAACCGGCTGCTGCAAACCGTCACTCTCAAACGGCCTTATCTCCTTTCATTTAGCTTGATTGGTTTTCTTAAAATTATGCTGATTACAGTAATTATACTTGCCAATGCAATTTAATTATCAAGCAGTTGGCGATACTGTGACAATGCCCATTGTTAGGCAACGGCCCGGTAAATACATTCCCGTAGCATACGCGCTCAACAATAGGACATCCATTGCTAGGTAACGGACCAATAAACACGCATTTTTTACAACAGAAGACGGTGTTTTCCTTGAGGTCCGTACCGAGGAGTTATAAGAGGGTACAGTCAGAAGACTGGACGGAGTACAACGGAGTAGTGAAGAGTGGTAAGAAGTCGAAAGTGTCCAGTCGAAGAAGATGAGTGTGTCAGATAGTGATTTGTAAACTACTGTAACCAGTTGTATAAAGGTCCAATAAATTCTATCATCAAATCCAAAATTTGTCACGCAAATCCCGGATACATGATAATTGGTGTCAGAAGTGGGATTGGATTGATTGGGCCGAAAACGGCAGTAAATTGTTGTGTCGTCAGCCTATAAAAATGGAACAAATGGCGGAGCAAATGATGGAACACCTGGTAGCCATCTTGGAAGAGTTGGAGACAAAAATGATGGCCAGGAAGGACGCCTACCGAGAAGAAAAGAAGGAAGAAATGAAAGCCGACCGAGAATAAATGCTGGCTAAGACGAATGCCCACCATGTCTGGAGAGAAGATAATGGTTGAAATGATGGCCTGGCGAAAGAGATGACCTGTCGACATACGAGGGAGACCACGGATTTGGGGGCAAACCCAGAAGAGAGGGTCTGTAGCAGAGCATCGGGAGGTCCCCATGGAAGAGGTCGCACGGAAATCTTTTTGTGAAATGAAGAAGCGGCATTTGGGCCAGCATCTATCTTCAAGGTGCCGCGGAAAGCCGCTGGAAGGGACTAAGGGCAAGGATGAATTCCGAAAGAAACTGGCCGCCGCCAGGAAAAATCGGACCAGGTACAATGTGGAACAAAGAGCAGGTAAAGAACGGACGTTCGGGAAGAGACATCGCACGAAACCAAAAGACAGCCATGGAGTAAAGAACCGAGGCATTAAGGTGCAATCAAGACTGAGAAGCGACAGAACACCTGGGAGAATCTTCGGGAAAACGATCTGGCTGGAGCTCGAGAAGCAAGCTGCTAGATCTTCCGTTAGAATGCGAACATTGTGGAGGGGTCGGCCCCCTCCGAAACGGAAGAGCCTATTCGCAGCTTTAGCGTTAGAAGAGCCGGAAATGTGGGAGCACCGGACATTCTGGAGAGTCTCGTCCCCACTGTTGGGAAAAAGATTTATGTTTGCACACCTGAAACGACTGGAACAGTGGATGAGGTAGCAGTGAGAGCGGTTGAAGAGAAGTCTCCCCAGAGAGAAAACCGAGCCACGAGAAGGTGAGACCCAGCACAGCCCTTGAAAGAAGAAACGGCGGTATGCCTATTGGCTATTCAGGACGAATAGCCTTAAGAAAGGAAACAATGTGACGCATATATCCATTGCTGGCCAACGGCTCGGTAAACACATTCCCGAAGCATACGCGCTCAGTAATAGGATTCCATTGCTAGGTAACGAACCAAGAAACACAGATTCTGGCACACAGAAGGCAGTGCTCTGTGTGGGGTCCTTGCCAAGGAGTTACTATAGAACAGAGTACAAATGGATTAGTGGAGTAGTGAAGTTTGCTCAGAAGTCAAGAGTGTCCAGTCGAAGATGACACTGCATCAGACAGGGATTTGTGAACTGTTGTTAACAAGTTGTATAAAGATCAAATAAATAAGATCATGAAATCGAAAACCCATTTTATACGCCACACAAACCCCTAATACATGACAATAATTTAAACCGGCAACAAGTTTTATCCGTCTTAGCTGCTTGGTCAGCTTGGCATCCACAGGTTATCAAGCCAAAAGCTCAATTCTGCTGGTTTAATACCAATGTCTAGCAGCCACATTGAACTCCTGAATTCTAAGAATTAATACAATAAGTTGAATCCTGTATTACTGTAAAAATAGGCATGTTACATTTACACATAAAAATGGGATTATGCACCTTAATTGTATCAATGTATGTCTGAATATTGCCGATTGCAGTGGCCATGCAGTCTAAGGCATGAACAGTCTCCGCTTGCTCGAACATTGAGATCATGGGTTTGATTCCCACTCTAGACACGGATGTCTGTGTGCGATTATTCTTTGTTTGTGTTATCTTGTGTGTAGGTAGCAACCTTGCAATGGGCTGATCCCCCGTCCAATGGGTTCTACAGACTGTGTATAGGATCAAGAAACTGAAAATGCGGGCAAGACCTAACAAAGGGCTGTAGAGCCATAATAATATCAATAATAATAATAATGTATGAATATTAATTAAACTAATTAACATATATAGAATATGAGACCCAGAGGGCGTTCAACAATCGAGGAAACCTGGTAGCAGCACACAGCGGACTCAACATTTCTCACAGATTGCTGCTGTAACCAGTCAAAGTTGAAGTATTTCATCAGGGAACCCTGTGGTATTCAACACACTCGGATTTCCCTTCAGTGGCCCATTGTACTGCTTCCAAAAGTGTAACATCTCACTATTTTATATTTAAATAATTATAGACTGAGCTGCATTTTGTACGGAAACAACTTCTTCCGTACGAACAGATGCGCTACAATTACGTCTCTTTGTACGTTTATCACATGAACTTCTTGTGTCTTCAAACTGTTTAACATTCTGGTACACGGTGCCGCTCAAAGGTGCAAATAGAACAGAAAACTCTCAACAGCATAAGAACACTTTCTGATCAGTGGTATACGTCGCCATATTTTTACTCAGTTCAGAGTTTTCCATGGCAGAAGGGTTTTTGAGTTTCATTCAGCTGTATTTAATAACAAAAAACAGAGTACAAAAATGTAGTTGAACACAGGACAGCAGAGTAGCATTGCCTTCACCAAATGGATTTCAGTCTTAGTGTACCCTGCATTTACGTTTCTATTTGGAGGTTGGAGGCAGTGGCTTTCTCAGCAACATGGGTAATCACAGTGTCATACTGGAGAAGATGGTGATCCACATGTTCTTTGTATGATGAGATTATTTTAGAAATCTGAAGAAATCGATTTTAGTTTGCCCTAAAGAACTGTCCTTAGTGACCAGGGAGGGGTTCCAAATTTTAAAAAGTATGTTTTATATCCATCTGTACACTGATGTGAAACAATTGAAATTCTTTGTATTTAGGCACTTGACTTCTAATAGTTTCTAGTTAGCATTGCCCAGCATTAGTACTCTCTGAGAAGACTGCTTGTGCTAAGAGAAAGCTAGTGGAAGAAAATTTTATAATGAACTATTATCCTAACTCTTACACCAAAATGTTTTTAGGGTGATGAAGTTGCGTAGGGTGAAAGAAGTGGGATATATGGGTGTGCAGAGGATTAAATTGACCGAAGAACCAGTGGTGGACTCCTGCACATGATGTATTGAAAACTAATTTTCCATGAAGGGCAGGCAATTTGTTGACAAGCTGAGTTACTGCCAATATATAAGAAGGAATCTGAAGTTACAATGTTCCAATTATGCAAGTTTTGAAACAGACTGGTGACTAAGCAGATAAGTATGAGTCAAACAACCCTCACCATGGTTACCTATCCAACTTCTGCCCCACAACATAATTATTTGGTACCCACCATATGCCAGAACAGGCATTCATCCCCAGCTCATTTCTGCTCCTATATGTTTTCCTTACTCTAATAATGAGTCACTCGGAGAACATGTTATTCCTTGTCCCTGCATCAAGGCAACTGCGTAGCCTTCCTGCGGCAAATGAACAGAAGTGCTCAGCAAACAACGAAAGCAGTATAATAAAAATACATAAAAGGGCAAAAGTGCTTATTTACTCATATTTATGCATTCTGTAATCCTTTACATAGAGATAAACATACAAGACAATAATGAGCATCGAGAGTATGGAAGCATTTCCGATGTTAGTTTTTGTTTCCAGATTTATGTTTCATGTTTCACAGGTAAACATATTCTCTAACGGATATTACTCTTATGCTAAAATATTGGATCGTCTTAAAACTGGACGAATTTTATCAGCATCAATATATTTCATCTAGGCGATAGAAGTATCCATCTATGTGTCTATGCCATCTGGAATATAACACCGTGCAGTCTGTTGAAAATCAACTGACATTTCGGAAGAATACATCCCCTTCATCTTCAGGGTCAAAGAATAAACCAAGCAAAAATTCAGCATCAAGCAGCCAAGCCCTGCTTGCTATCTGAGTCACGCAGGTTTTTGCTTGGCTATTCTTTGACCATAAAGATAGAGGTGAAATATTCTTTTGCTCCCCTAACAATGTGTATAGTGATGACTGTTAAATAAAGTTAAAAATAATGTTTGTGCAATGGTGTTGTGTGGAGCAGTAATCATTCTTTCCTGCCTAGCTAGAACAAGGCCCGTCAAAGCCTTGAGAGGAGATATGTTTTACTGAATGAATGGTTAGCCTAATTATGTTATATAATAATTCCAACTCTAAAATGAACCAAATGGAGCTTGGTTATAATATGAATGATGAGTGAAGTTGTGACCTCAACAACCACCTCAGAAGAGGAAGAGCATCTACAATAATTAAATTAACAGTACTCAATAAAACAAAACACTCATTACAACTCATACTTCTTACACTAGATGTAGTAAAAATAGATTAGCCTCAAACAGCTGTTACTTTATTACAATTTACAGAAGCAATTAACAAGTAAACATGCTATTTCTGGATTCAGAATCATCAGTATGAACAATGGCTTCACCTGGTCACACTATACTATTGAATGTGTTATTATGCCTTGAAAAGCAATTCACATGCCAATTATATTATGTTTACAGAAAACATTCTCTAAAACATGTTTGGGAATAAGTTCACAGGACTATAGGAATGTCACAAACCTGGGTCATGTTACTAAATTTTCATGAACACAATAACTACTTTGAAGGGGACTGGCTAAATGATATTCTAAATCATTGCCAGTTCTGTGGTATCCCAACCAGCAAATTATTTTTTGGTGTACAAGTTTCTGGAATTAATTTTGCTAGAGTTACTGCATAGCCAGCTTCTTTAGCCTGCAGGCATCGATCAGTGTCAATTATGCCCATACATGTTTTCCCCTGATCGGTTTTGGCATTATGTTCATCATGAGTTTGGTCAGCCGAGTGTCCCAATACCAAATACTCACGGAGGGTCAATGCAGAATCTCGGAAAACCTTGCTACGTGGGTATGTTAAGATATGATTGTTTTGAACTGAACCATAGCAACAGGGGCAGCAAATGAACACTGCATTCTGACTGATACATCGTTGAATTACTAGATCTGTAGCTACTCCACAGGCATGTAATGATACGCCTATATCAAATTCCCCACAGAAGTAATCAAGATTACATTGGCAAAATGTCACATTAGTTAATTTTAACTTAACAACCCTCTGATAGGCTCTTGCAAGGGACTCTTCTTTGTTTTCTAACAGTATTACCTGACAACGAGGCAACAGGTAAGCGAGTATTATACCAAGATGGCCACTTCCTGAACAAAAGTCTACTATGGTATGACCAGGCTTGGCTACTTTCAATACAGCTTTAGCCAGATTTTCAAGTTGCTGGCCTTTCCTTTCCATTCGAAATGCTGGCAACTGTCCTCCTTCTGGGTGAGCATCATATGGAATTGCACCCCAATCAAATTCTAATTCACAGCCAAATGGATATTGCTGCCACTCCACAATTATACCTAGTTCTTCCACCACTTTCAATGAGGTTTCCACATCCTCCTGCCTTGTAAATATGCAATTCCTTGGCTTATATCTTTTTGCATCACTTTTATGCAAGCTCTGTTTAGGAACAACAGGTAATATATACTTAACATACAGATTATCTATAATCTTATTAGGAATATCTCTGATGATACCAATTGCTTCTTCTACACCATCTTGTACTTTTACGCGATCATACCACTGCATTGTTAAAGGAATGTACGGCTGCAAATACACATTACGAACAATCTGCAAGATTATGTGCATACAGGGGAAAATTATAATATCAGCCAGGGTCATCACTGGACCCTCAGCAAAACAATGCTCCAATTCTATTTCCAGATTCTGTCCCCCCTTAATATGCTTTCCTGCTGTCATGTTCTGAGTCCCATTTTTTGATTTTGAACAATTCACACCCTTAGAATTAATGAAATCTTGGTTCTTCTTACGAACATTATGAATACGTAATGGTTGGCCCATATGAATTTCAAAACGTGCCACATCTTCTGGAAGTGTCACTAAATTAGGAAGGGAATCTTTGCACATCAAATTTCTCACAGTATTTATAATGTCTACTTCACAGAACCGGGTCCATACTGAAAACTCAGCACATGCCATTAGACAGCCCTGTCGAAATCCCAGAAGAGAACGACATCTATGTCCTGATAACTGCATTACAGCACTTTTTACAACTCGTCGCAATACAGCACACAAACCCGCAACACAAGTAGTACCATCTCCCACAAGCATTACAGGCAACTGACATGTTCCAACGATATCTACGTCTTCTTCCCTAATTAATTCAAAAGTAAAACCTGTAATCTTAACACTAAATGATGGCTTATGGCCAGGCTTCAGAACAAATATCAAATAATTTTCTGACTGTCTACAATATTTCAGAGTAAATAATGTAATCAATGTCTCCAATGGGACTGCAATGAAACCTCCCACTGGTTCTGATAATACTTGTACATATAGTTCATCCATTGCTACTTCTGTCACAGGGAAGTCTTTGTCATAAGAACCTATAATTTCAAATATTTTCTCTCTACAGTTCACTTGTACTAGTTTTTCTGTGACTACTCACAAAATTAGTTTAAATCTGCACAATTTTTAACCCACTTCCAAGGACTAGCTCATACACCACTGGCTAACTGCCTTTGAATTCTTCTCAACATCCGACGGTCCAAAATTCTCTGGCGTGTGAACACAAAAGTTGTTGAAATAACACCCACTATAAACATTAACCCTTCAAACAGCCAGAAATTGCGTTCTTCCAACCACGTCACTTTATCGCATCTGAAAATAAAAGGTACCATTAGAATAAAATAACTCTACAATGACATATTTCCTTACATGTTGCCATTAAAATTAAATAGCAAGGCACAGAAAAAGAATATGTGGCACATAGTCACCAACTTGCCCATGGGAAACAGAATATTCAGCTGGTGACTACCAATTTAGCCAAGTGAACCTGAGATCTCATGGATTCTGATACCCTGGGCCTCAAAGACAGCTCCACCATTCTTGACCTCAGCAGAGAAGGTGGAGGTGAGCCATCAGAGTCACACTGACACAGCTTTCCCCCCCCCCCCAAGGAAAGAGTCCATAGTACCTAATAGACAGGATGTTGTATGGGCATCAAAGCTGGTCTGGATGCTGTAAAGAAGAGAAAAATCTCTGCCCCTGCCAGGAACCACTTCCCATCTGCCCAGCCTACAGACATATCAACTAAGTTTAAAGAGAAATGACAATAAGATGAATGCCAAATTCATTAAGAACTTGCAAAAGCTATTTAGTCCATACTCAGTTACCTGTACAAATAAACAAGAAGCTCTGGGAAGAAGTAATTGCTTACTTTCCTTTCACTGTTCTTTTAGTATCCGATATGGCAAGCAGAAAGGAAACTTTAATATGTATGCATAATGAGGTCAGTAAAACAAAACAATTCAGGAGGCTTCAGATGACATGACATGCATAAATTTCATGAACACTGGTTCAGGCATTCAGGCAATATTAAGGTTATTTCCTTGACAATATGAGAGATCACCTTCCCCACCCCCTCTTATGTCTGTCTCTCTAGGCATCTGTGTGGGCGTGTGTGCATGCATGCCCAAACCAATCTTTATGAAACATGGTATTGTGATGTATTTGATCAATGCATTGTCAGGCAACAGTTCTGTAAACACAATATGCACCCACAACAGTAGAGCAAGCTGTGTTTTCCATATGTCCAGCAGTTGGCATAGGATCGGTGACATCACACATCAACAGCAGGTGGCCATCACATGTCATGCATTTCCTTGTGTTCATCAGCTACGCATGTGCAGTGACATCACACAGCAACAGTGGGTACGGATCACAAGATATGAGTTTACTGTTGGTCGGTGTCAGTCCCTTGGCTATATAAGTAAGTGACAGAGTTCTGAGTTCATCAGAGAAGCATAAATAGTGTGGCAGAAGCACATGAACAGAGTGAATTGGAACCAGGACTACAGAAGAGTACTGGAGGTTCACCTATGAGAATTTAAAGTGTGATTCGAAGATTTTATTTATGTGTAATCCAGTGAGACTGTTATACAGTGTGTCCACGTTCTGTTAGGACTGTGTTCATTAAAAATACAAGACGTGAATTATTTTAAAAACGTCACTCTTTTTATTCAAAATAGTCCCCTTCTGAATCAATTGAAAAGTTTCTGAAAACAGTCACTGTATTGCTTTTGTGGAATCACATTTAAAACTGCGGTACATTCCCTTTGGATGTCCTGGATGGTGTCATGACGGTCTCCTTTCATCACCAACTTAACTTTTGGGAACAGCCAGAAATCTGCTGGAGCCAAACCTGGTGAATATGGAGGATGATCAAGGACTGTGATCCTGTTTCTAGCCAATAAATCACACACGATCTTTGATTTCTGGGGTGGAGCATTGTCATGGAGGAGCGACCCGGAACCTTGCCCTTGATATTCAGGTCTAATTCGAAGAATTCTCGCCCACAAATGATTGAGGACTCTTGAGATAATAATCAGAATTCACTGTTTGACTTTCTAGCAGAAATTCCTTGTGTATGATTCCTTTGGAATCAAAGAAATCGGTTAGCAGTGTCTTTACTCGACTCTTGCATGCGCACTTTCTTGGGTTTCATCTTCTTTGGGCTCAACCATGCTGCACTCTGCCGCTTTGTGAGAGGATCATATTGAAAACACCATGTCTCGTGGCCACTAACAACCAATTTTGTTATCACTTTGGGCCGACCGTAACATGTCTCTGCAGTGTTCCACTCTGGCATGTTTTTCACTGTCTGACAGCGTGGGTGGTACAAACTGTGCACAGACCTTCTATTTGCGCAAATCCTCGGTCAAAATTTGATGTACAGTACTTTGTGGTATTCCCAAAAGCTCCTCAATGAGTCTTGCAGAAACACATTTGTCTGATGCAAGGATTTCAGCCACTTTTTTCATGTTTTCTTTAGTGCGACTTGTTCTCGGCTTTGATGCATGTGGAGCGTCTTCAATGTCCTCCCTGCCGTTATGAAACACAGCATACCATCGAAAAATGTTCAAGCAACTCAAACAATCACTACCGTACACACTTTTCATCATTTCGTATGCTTCTCCAGCTGTTTTGCCTAACTTCAAAATTTAATGTTGGCTCTCTGTTCAATTGCCATTTTCTGACGAGCGTCAGAACAGTACTGTTACATTCAAGGTCAGAACACATGATGCAGTGATGCTTGCACTCTGAAATTACAGACAGCCACAGCTGAAACTCGAGAATCTTAATGCCACAACTCGCCAACAGATGGCATTACAGGGCACAATTTAAAAAAATGAGTCCTAACAGATCATGGACACACCGTGTAGGTGCTGCGTTTTAATTGCGGTACCATGAGAGGACCAGTGTGTGTATAAATCAGCAATAGTGCTGTATTGTCTGTATTTAAATGTCATTAAGAGAGATTGTAACCAAGCTGCTAATAAATCCAATCATCCGAACTAGAGCCTGTCATTTTCTTTGCACATAACACACTACATGCAACAGTATGTTTATCATGGAACCTGAGTTCATCTCAACAGTATAATTCATAAATCAAGCTCACTGTAATGCTGGCATCAGTGCTTCTCAATTTCCTGAGGAAAACCCTTAATATATTGCTTGAATATATGTACCAATCTTCATGAAACTTGGTATGTATATCAAGTCACATAAAACCATCTCAATCGCATACACCATAAGTTTCTTCGATCAGCAGTTCCAACATTACAGCCTCTAAAATTGTAGTGGTAATAACTGCAATGTTGGTTAAATGCCTAAACAAATCTTCATGAAACTTGGCACATGCCACCTCTGCCCATCTCAACAGTGCATTTCATAATTCCTTGCCATCTGTAATACCAACACTATAGCCTCTGAAATTCTTGAGGTAATACCCTTAATATTACTCGAAAGCTTGAACCAATCATCATGATATTTGGTGTGCATATCATGCCACCTGAGGCCATCTCAATGGCATACTTAAGAAATCCCTCTCATTAGCAGTACCAACACTACAACCTCTCAAAATTGTTGATGTATTAACCTTAATATTATTTGCATGCCTGACCAATCTTCATGAACCTTGGTATGTATATGATGCTATCTGAAGCCATCTCATCGGTGTGCTCACAAATCAGTCCCATTAATAATAGGAACATTGTAGCCTCCCAAAGTGGTCTCCTCTATTGACCTCATTATGCATACATACTAAAGTTTTCTTTCTGCTTGCCACATCAGACAATAAAACTACATTGAAAGCAAAATAGGCGATTAGTTCTTCCCAGAACTTCTTGTTCTATATGAAATCAAATATAAAATTTTCTACAATATTATAAACATATACCTACAATTAACTATCACAGAGTTATTCAATTTTACACATACCTTCTACTTACAACTTTCCCAGACAACTTGCAGGATAACGTTTCTTTGAAATGTGTAGGAACACACACACCAACACTTTTACTTGTAATTTCAAAATCTGAAAACAAGAGAGATATACACACACATATTTCATGATGTATGGACAAAAGCATCCAGGACACAATAATTACATCCACAACTGATGATTTCAGACTTTTACAGCAGTTCAATGTGAATCCTGCATTCCTGACATTTCAGGAACAATTACTGTCTCCATCTTCAATAAGAAATGACTACCCAAATGCTCCTACTTTTACTTACAGCATAGGTCCACAGGTAACTTGGAAATGTTCTAAATTAAATCAATCCAACAGGCCAATTTCCATGGACCTTGGGACCTGTACTATAAATACAAGCAGATGCCACTGGGAAGTCACTTCACCTTAAACCCGAAGACAGTAAAGAGCTTCAGAACATTAACAATGTAGCCTATGTAGTCCCATGACCAAAAAACAGGACACATATCAACAGCCACCACTGAGGATTATAGTCTTCTGGAAAGTGATACCAATTAGTTTGATAGATACCAATGTTTTGGAGGAACCTGTGACCATTGTCTTCAGGGTGGAAGAGTATGTGGAAAAAGGTAGTCACAGATACAGGGTAGGGAGAGCAGAACCAGCACTGTGAACAAGTCATCACTGGTAACAATTCATGTAATTCATATTCTGCTTAGCAAATAACTACGGTTGCACCACAGGTTTATGACTTAACACATTTCCAAAAATGGATTGCAAGTTGAAAATTCAAAAACAAAGTTCATTATAACATTGGATGTATACGGTTATTCTGCTGGAGCTCAAAGCTCATGCCCATTTCTTTTTTAATATTGTGGCATGCCACCAGAAAGCCTGAATAATTGAGGACATCGGGGCTGATTTCCTAGGCAACGACCGACTTTCCCATGACAGTGGCTTGGAATGAGCACGCTAACAAACCTAAGCAACAAACTGTTCGAGGCAGTCATAGGACAACAGCGAGAAAAACTAATAGCAATGAGAGAATATGCTAGCTAACTAGTGAAGTTACAGCTACAACGAAACAAGACACTAGCTACTGGCAGATAGAACACGTGAAACGGAACCTTTGAACAAGGTGTCTTCTAGCCCGTCCAATGGTAGGGTATAAGAGATACAACAAGCTGAGATACAAAGTGATATGAAGAAGTTAAAACGAGCCAAGAAACCAAGTGATATGAAGAGAGTACAACGAGCTGAGATACAAAGTTATATGGAAAGATTACAGAGATACAGAGAAGACTTCAGTGGTTCAAGAAGCTGTAACATTTAAGAAGAAATGTCTAAAGGGCTATTCTAAGTGGAATAGTTGTAAGTGTGAGTGTAAAAGAGAGGTTTCGGGTTCGATTCCCGGTGCTACCAGATTTTCTGAGAAGCAGTGGGTCTGGAACGGGGTCCACTCAACCTTGTGAGGATCACTGAGGAGCTAATTCAAGGAAATAGCAGCTCCGGTCTAGAAAACTGAGATTAACGGCCATGGGGATCCACTGTGCTGACCATGCGATACCCTCTATCCGCAAAAGTTGGCACTAACTTCGCCGACAAGCGGCGGTCGCTCAGTCAGTATAATTCGCTTGTGGACTAGAGGCCACGGAGTTTGGAAAGAGTGTAACTAAACCCACACGATTTCTTGTCGCACTGCCTAGCAAACATGTGACAAAATGACTTCCACAGTGCTTTTGAAGCATGGAAAAAAACGGCTGGATCGCTGTATACATTCCAAAGGAGACTATTTTGAAGGAGATGGCAGCCAAAACTGAGTAAGTTAAGCCAGAATTTCTTTTTTGACCCAGCCCGGGAACTTTCCGATAGTACCTCATATTCCATAAGTCTGAAACTCTGGAGCTTCAGTGTAATGCATGTTAACTTATAGTGATCAGAAGTTTGCACATTAATAAGTCATGAAGTTGTGGGATAACATACAATTGTAGTTTAATGGGATCATGGTATCAGAAGTCCAGAAATTCGTTAGTTGTGAAGTTATAGGTTGAGATATGACCATACTTCAGTATCAGACCACAAATGTTGTATTGTGGAAATACAAATCAACCAACCAGTAAAGAGGCCACTGCTAGTAATTACTTGAAATTAAATTGCTCTTATTTCTGGAATAAACATTAACACTTTTATCTTACAATTATGTCAACAACCATTAATGTCTTGCACCCAATTTCCTTAACAAGTTCACAAATCAAACCCCTCAGATGTTCTCTTACCAGTACACGGATGACATGCTTCTACTATTTCAAACTCTTCATGCAACCAGCAATTATTCTCGTTACTTGAATTCTTGTCCACTACTGCCACATGGTTTCTGCCATTACCCGAAGTCCAGTTACTTTCCACAACAAGAACCAGCAAAGTCAATCTGTAATAAAGGATTTAAAATCATCTGAACTCCACATCACACTTAACATAGGCCTACATACAACATACCTCCACTTTAATTACAAAAACAATGGCTTCTAGTGGAATGATGAGAATATATACAAATCCATATAAATGGATATATATTCAATCTTGAAATTTCACACAGTAAACTAAAATTAGTACAAATATTATGTTTTTGGACATTATCAATTGTCCTGTCTTTATCTAAAAACCATCCTGTTTACAATGGGCGTTCAAGTTCCAAGGTCTCCGATTTTTTTTTCTCAGGGCTGGGAGCAGATACACACATGCGGTTTAGTTTAAAATATGTGTGCACTCTTTGTGAATGCGTGACAGATGGCAGCACTGTACGGCACACAGAACTCTAGTGGTGGTGTCGAGAGTGAGGAGTGTTTTTGATACCTAAAATTGCGATGTTTTCGTTACAATAACAGCGAGTAATGATTCATTTTCTCCACTTGCATGGTGCGACACCCACTGAAATTCATTGCCAGTTGAGTGAGACATGTGGTGATGGTGTCATGAATGTGAAAAATGTGCGTTCATGGGTGCGACAACGAACCAAAACAATCTCGGCCTCGCACCAGCCGGTCTGACAACATGGTCGAGAGAGTTGAGAAAGTTGTTTTGGA